TGATGTTGGTGGCGACGGTGGTGACGGTGACTGTGGCCGTGGTAATGTATGGTGATGTGATGGTGATGGCAGTTATAATGTTGGTGATAAGGAAGAGGAGGATGATGGATGCGGAAAGAGGAGGATGAAGATGATAGTGATGCGGATGATGGTCGCGATGATGATGACGGTGGTGATGGTGGCAAACATGATGGTGATGATGGTGATGGTGATGGTGATGGTGATGGTGATGGTGATGGTGATGGTGATGGTGATGGTGATGGTGAATGAATATCGTAATGAAAGGGAGGAGGCGGGGAAGGCATATGTTCGATGGGGAAAGGGAAGGAAGAGGAGGAGGAGGAGGAAGAAGAAGGACGAGAGGGAGGACCAGAGTAGACCCAAGATGCGTAAGCCATGCTGAAAGTTACCCCCCCCGTCTCCCGAACCCCCTCCCCAGAAGTCCCCACGAGGGCTCTTCCCGCTGCAAGGAGCGCCCTCCTGACAGACCAGCACTCCTCGGCTCTGCCGGCCATGCGAGGGCCCCGCTTTGACGAGGAGCTGCCGCACATCGCTGTTCGGCGAACTGTCATACTGTTCAACCGCGTGCCCAGCGAGACCCCCACGTCGAAACACGGCCGCCCCACATCGTATGCAACTGTTGCGCAAGAGTACACGCCTGATCAGGAGCCCCGAAGAAGTCTCAAACGATAGCCCCGTTTGGTAAAGGATCCGCCTTCCAAGCGTTTAGCCCGTACAAAGCTTGACGTGTCTAGCATTTACCTTTCAAAGACGTCTCAAACGAAAGCCCTGTGTTGAGAAGGAGCCGTCCTCAAACCGTGACGGACGTGCGCGGCGCCAGGACGATAGCCAGTTTTGAAAAACAGCCGCCGTCCACCCTTGAAGATGCTGCAAATTCTAGAACGAGTGCGCGCGTCGCCAAGGCGAGAGCCCCACTGTGTTGCCTCACTGCACGAGTGTAATCCAAACGTTTCTCGTCAGCTGCCATCGGCACCGTTTCTGGATGGGCTGGTGAAGTTACGCGAAACGCCAAGAATGTCAGCCTTCAGCACCAGTTTAAAAATTGAGGAACTCCTCTGGCTTCGCGGGGTGCACGTCCGGAGCACGCAATGACTGGTCCATGGGCGGTTTGCCCTGCACATCTGCCGCGAAAGTTCGCCATGTCGTTCTGCCCGCCCCGGGGCGCTGCCAGCGCCACGCGTGACGGATGCGCACCCCCCCCGTTTCAGCGCGGGGGCGAGCGTGCGAATGTCCACGAGGGCAACGAGCATCACCACATGTCAACACAAGGCAAAGAAAATTTCTCTTACTCCGACGAACATAGCAACATCGCGCCATTCGTCTACAATTCCTCGGGCCTCTTGGTGGTTTCTTGGGGCCGTTTGGGGGCTCTTGAGGGCCTCTTGGAAGCTCTTGCAAGCACCTGGGAGCCTTTTGGTGGCCAATTTGGAGCTATTGCGCCGCCTAGCCCCTTAGGAAGCCGTCTTTTGGCGTCCACGTGGAATTGGGCGCCTTCGGGGCCGTTTGGGGGGCCTCCCTGGGCCATCATAAGGGGCCCTGTTTCGCCCAAGACGGCCCCAAGAGGGCGCCCGATGCTCCAAGATGGCCTCCGAAGCTGCTAAAGATAGCCGAAGATTGTCCAAGATAGCTTCCGACATACCTCCAAGAGGCCCGACGGGGATCACAAGATGGTTCCAGATGCTCTCGGGAACCCCTCAGGACCCCCCTAAGAAGCCAGCACTCCTTCGAAAACCTAAGAAGGGAAATCAATGATGTGCTCCTTCTCGCCTTTTCGCTTAAGATGCCCTGCTTAAGCCTCAAGGTGGCACCAAGATGGCCCAAGAGAGGCCCACGAGGGACCCAAGAGGCCCCCTAGACTGCCCTCAGAGCGCCCAAGAGTGACCCAAAAGCGCCCCAAGAAGCGATGTTGAGGGCTCCAGAGGGTGGAATCGGTGTCCACCTCTCCTTTGATCGATAGCCTCCAAGATGGCCTCAAGAAACCCTCCAGGGCTCAAAAGAGGGCCCCGGGACGGCTCCCAAAACGCGCCGCAAAAGCGTCCCACGAGGGCCCCAAAAGGCGGGTTGCCTCCTGGTCCTTCTCCTCCTCCTCCTCCTCCTCCTCCTCCTCCTCCGCCTCCTTCCTCCTTCACTCCTCTCTGCTTCCTACTACTACTACTAACTACTACTACTATTACTACTTACTAATGGCTGTGCCATGCCTGCCTGCTACTACTTATAACGCACTAATACTATGTACTACTTACACTATTACCTATACTACTTAATACTTATACTACTACTACTACTACTACTATTACTACTACTACTACTACTGCTACTACTACTACTACTACTACTACTACTACTACTACTACTACTACCACAACCACCACCACCACCACCTTTACTAGCTCTCATACCACCACCACCACCACCACCATCACCACCACCACGACGACGACGACAACGACGACTACGAAGACTACGACTACGACGACTA